CCCCAAAACCCCAAAACCCCAAAACCCCTTGATGAAATTTATTTATTTTTATCATTATTAGCAGAAATTAAAATTGAATTCTCACTCATTAATTTAAATTCAATTAATTTAAAGGCAACGAATTTGAAAATATAAAACATTTTTATTTAATATTAAACACTTTACTTAATGGATTTAATATACTGCAAAGGATGCAATCTTATATTTAACTAAGGCATTAGATTGCCAATGAGTCTACCATGTGGTCATAAAATATGCAAATAATGTTTAGATATGAAATAGAATTCCAGAAATGCAAATGATCTAGCCTGTCCTAGAAATCTGGAGCATAAATTTACAAAAAGTTAAAAATTTATAGTTGACTAAGATCTGCTTGAATATTTAGAAAAGAATGATTTTATCAATATAAAATGTGATAAGCACCAAGAGAATTTAATCGATAATTACTGTATTAAATCAAGAAAATTTTTCTGCAAGGATTGCACTTGAGATTGCAAGTAGTGTAAAAATTAACCAAACAACCATATTAAGGTGACCTCTTCAAGATTAGATGATTATTTCATTTAAATGATGCCATAATTGTAAGATATAATTATTAGAACTCAAAAGACTCTTGATGGTTTAAATGCAATTCACTAAGGAAATAAAATAGTGCTGGCTAAAGAATTTTAAGATCTGGTTTAATCTGCCGGAAAAACTATACTAAAAAACTAATAGAATGATAATTAAAGCATTGGTTTAATTGCTTAAAGGTGTGATCTTGAGAGTTATCTTACTGGAGAAATGTAATATTTTAATTCATCTGACTTTAAATTCATAGTTTTTCATTGAATCCATAAGATTAATATACCAACTTAAATAATTAAACAGATAAAATCGGAATATAACCATAATAGCTATAAAATTCTAACCAAATTCTCGGAGCAGAAAGATCTAAACCAGATTAAGCAGCCGTAGTTGTGAAAAAAAGAATAATTAAAGAAGAAGAAAAAAAGGTTTAGATGTAAGTAGTGAGTCTTAAGGAATAAGTATTAAATCCCCTATAAGATTAGAATTAAATAAAAATTAATGCTCCTTCATTGATTGCAAGACCACCTTAAATTTCACAAATAAAAGAGCAGCAAATCTTTTTTGATAAATTCAGACTACTAGTAAATTAAGAGATGAAAAAGAACACATCTTTTATTTTTAGGAATAAATTTGATAATCCTAAGACTTAAATTAGCTTTAATTAGATTTATATGGGAAGCAGAGATGGATTTAAAGCAAAAGATTTTCACTCTAGATGTGATAATAAAGGGCCTACTGTTTGCTTCATTTTGAGTGATTCTGGAAATGTATTTGGAGGATTCGTCACAAAAAGTTGGAAAAGCTAATATTCTTGGGAGGGTGACATCAATGCTTTTATTTTTTCCTTAACTCATCGGACAATTCATCCTTATTATAACTAAAACAATACAGCAATAAAGAATGATCCTAACTAGAGCTGGAATCAGGGGTATGGTGACATTTCGATTAAAGATAGATGCAATGAAGTTAATAGCAACACCTCATGGTTGGGATGGAGTTATGCACTCCCTCACGGATTTAGTTTTACTGAAACTTAATCCAAAACTTACTTAGGTGGCATGATTAACTTCAAAGTTTTGGATATAGAAGTTTTTTAGGTTTTGAAAAAAATATCTTGAAGAATTTTTGTATTCAATTCATAATAATTAATTTAGATTAAATCACTGATTTTCAATATATTTATATATATATTCAAATTTTTAAATTGCGGGGTTTTGGGGTTTTGGGG